AATACCGTGGCGATTTTTGGCTTGGCCTTTTTATGGAGAACTTACAGTATACTATACTGCCAACACAGAGTACCGTAAAATTGCTTTACAAGCAATCTAAAGGGAAGCACTTTCTTGCTTTGCGATTCTAGTACTAAAGCATAGTGCACAAGTTTTAAATTGATGTCTGACATTCAAAATAAAATTTAACAGTCTACACACCATATAAATAAAGTGATAACTGGTTGCCAGTGACAATAACGTTTAGTTGATGGGGGAACTTTCATCTGCCTAGTTCTGTGATTTGAAGTTTCATGTGTTGGATTTAGTCACTGTTGTTATGTTAAGTTAGTGTGACAGCTTTCGTGTGTTCAACAGCACATTTAAAATAACATCGTTTAGTTTAATTTAAATGTGGATGGTTGCCAGTGATGAAAACTGATTTGATAGAGGGAGCTGTTTAGCTTCAATGTTGGCAGTGACTGTGCATACACAGTTGCGTAGGCTAGTTTTATCCTGGAAGGTGGGTTGAAAAAATTGAAAATGCACAACTAAATCCCTATTCCAATGAAATCTTAAGGGTCATTTTTATTATTATGCCCATGCATGCACTTGATCTACTCATCTTACATATTTAAGTTACATCGACAGCTTTCATGTCTTTGATAGTACATTTCAAATATAAACATAGTTATAGTTTAATTTAAAATTATTTTCATCTACACATTAATTATGTCTGTAATTGCTGTTTCCTGCTGTGGCTAAAGTTGATAAAAGCAGATAAATATTTTGGAATGCGTGAGCTGAAACTAGATTTAATAACATTAAATTTGATGAAAAATTATTGACATTTACATAAATGTTGATGAATTTATATGTATGAATATAATGGATTTTCATTACTTTAATACATTTTCCCATACAATTATGATTATTAGGCACTGATTTTCATAGTTGATTAACCACTCACTTTGTGGATTATGTTTACTTTTTTAAAGGCCATGAACGTGATCAGGTAGACAATATTAATATCAATAAATGCTTTTTCAGGAAGTTAATCATTTTGGAAGTTTCCAGTGCTATATAGTTTCAAAATATATGTTTCGACCAAACAACCTACTTTAATGATGTTATAAAATTTATTAAGTTCTATGCTGTTTTTTATTCACAAAATGATGTAAAGTAACTGTAATGTAGTTCATTGGATATTGCTGTTAATTTGAGGCAGGATGCTAAGATCGACAGCGTATTAATGTATATTTTTAGTTGGTATCACATGCCTTCACTTGGGCATCCTTTCCAGTGAGTTGTGTGCGTATACTTAAGGTCAGGTAACAAGGAGATATACTCAATACATACTGGTTATTTATATATATATGTATTTCTGAGTCATTTCTCATGCTAGTGGTTGGGAGTTGAGAAATCCCACATAAAGAATACATGGCTGGTAAAGGCAACAGGTTTCTAGATGTGATTTCAATATTTTATTATTGTATTTGATTGTTTTATAACTCTGGAAACATGGATTTTTTAAGGAACTTTAAGAGTGAGTAACTATAGTTTTCATAGTTATTTTGTCTTGTTATTTCCTAGGATTCGTGAGAATAAATATTTATTTTTTATAATTAGGCAGTAAACAATTTACTTAGTTCAGGATCTATCTAACTAAGTTAATTAATTTGCGTAAATTTAGAGTAAAACAATGCCCATTTTATTTATGGTTTATGTATTTTATTTATTCCCATTTAGTCAGCACTCTTCAAATTTTTTTTTTTATAAGTTGATACAGTATATAAAGATGTAGCTTATACCTGATTCATTCAACACCAAATTTACACAGGACGTGCTAGGAGAAATTTTGCGCTCATCACTGCTTCATTGATAGCCTCCATGTGAAGTCACGTCTTTGTAAATTTATCGCGTGTCTCCTGTAATGTCTGTAAGAAAACATGTGGTAAAAAAAAAAACATCAAACCGTCTCTGTACGGATGTTCATAGTGGAGCATACAATTATCTTTTTCAGTGGCGTCACATACCGGTACATTTTCACTGTCTGGCTTGCTAGCAATTTTATTCTAATTTAAGCAAAGTTCATAGGTATACACCGATGCGGTAACAAAGTAAAATAAATACCTAAATTGTCGAGTTTGAAAATTCGAATATGCTATGCATACTGTGTTATATTTTGTCTTGTGTGAATCAGCTATAATTTTTAAAGTCTTTTAAAGTTTAGGATTTTAATTTTTTTTTTTTTATGTTCAAGCAGTTTTGAAGTGACAGATTGACCTCCGGCTAGAATCTGCACTGATTTGTATGGAAATAAGTACATGTTCTTAAAAAAGTTTTACTTTCTCTTCTTCTTCTTTTTTTTTTTTTTTAATCCTTTTTTGAAAATATTATTTCAATTTTCATTAGGAAGTGAAGTATACAGTAGTGAAGCATTTAAATTTTCTCAACATTCGAAAAAATATACAAAATATAATATTTTACCTACCTATTTAAAGGATAAAATGGTAATTTTGTATAACTAACATTAAAACCTAATGAGTAAAAAAAAATGCAGACGGATTATAATTAGAAAAACATTATGAAAACTACAAACATTATTTACCAAACATATTGTTTAACACCAAATATTTCAACTTTCCTTAAATCCATGTGAGATCAGAAGCTTATCCAAACTGTTTTTGAAATGTTGATATACTGTACATTGCAAGTTATTCAGCAAAAGCGCACCAAACTTACATAAATCTGATTAGTAGAAATATAATAAAAATTGTAGTATTGACTGCTAGATTTAGAAATATGAAAAGTAAATTGGAATTTGCAAAAATAAATGAACTAGACTATATTATGAACTAATATTCATTCAAAAGGCTTACCAGTATGTCACAGAGGACTGTAACTTTTTGCACATACAAACTTAAAAATAACAATGAATTATAAATTTGATTAATATAGGGAACAATAAATTGTCCACTTGAATCACAAGACTGTATGTACTGTGGTACACACAAAGCTATAAATAATCCCAGATGTATTCAAGTCATATTTTTAGACAATTTAATTCTCAGAGGACCTGCATTTTATTTTTGATTAATTTCACCCTGAAGTCTTTTTGTCATGCAGATCACATGATGTTTGATGTCTGAATGTTTAACGCAAATCTTAAATAAATCTCACATGACTTGAAAGGGGTATTAATAGAGTCTGTAAACTATCCATACTATCAAGTTTTTGTGACTAATTTCTATTAATTTGCCCATATTTGGGCATGATGTCATACTACAGCCATATGTACTGTATTATGATGATGCTAAATCATGCCATTTAGGGGCAAATCACATGTATTAATTGTCATATAAAATTTGATAGTGTAGACAGATCTTAAAGTCAGGCTCCGGAGGGAAAAACAAATTTTGATATGTTGTAGAACTGATTTTTCTAAGACAGAAAAAAGTAGTTTGATCAAAAACTGAGCAACGGTGAATGAGATACAGATTTTTGTATAATTAAAAACTGGGGGAAAAAGTTGTAAAAATGGGCGGTTACGCCCCTTTTCCCCCAGTTTTTAAATATTAAAAAATCTTTATCTCATTCACCGTTCCCCAGTTTTTCGTCAAAAAACTTTTTTCTGTCTTAGAAAAATCAGTTCTACAACATATCAAACAATTTTTTCCCTCCGGAGTCTGACTTTAAAGCCCTGTCCAGACTATCAAATTTTATTTGACAAAAACATGTGACATACCTTAATATGGTCATGATGACATCACATTATGACCATATATAGGCACATCAAGACTATATATGGGCATACAACAGTTTTTTTTAGACGTAATTCAAAATAATAATCTGGTGAGTTATTCATGTAATTCCTATACAATGTCACAATAGTTTGTCACAATATCTTGAGATTATGGCAGATCCAATGCAGTAATAGATTTAGCAGATAGCTATAGCAGAGTAGACAGACAATAAAAAGGAAGGAAGATTTTAGTCATTGTCACTAATCTACTAAAAAAAGATTATGGAACAGCAAATAATGTTAATATGTCAACCTCCAATGAATTGTAATGCTACTGTATAATGACAGTAAAATATGACAGTAAAATTTTACAGTAATATGAACAATTATTTATCTTCAATTATTTAAAATTTTTGGTCTATGATAGTGTTCTTTTCGTAGGTAATATGATTAAAGGAGAGAAGTATGCAAACAGGCTAACGGCGTTGAACAAGGTCATTGAAATAAGATGAAGCGATGTCATGGTGATTACAAAACTCTGATATAAAAGAAGTAATCAATAATTAATCCATATTAGATGACCAAACTTTAATTTGATGATTTGCAAAAAATTATTATTACTTAGAATTTTAGCCGGATTCAAATGAACGTGTGCTTCTGATAAAAAAAAAAAAAAATGTGCAAGTCAAAGTTGGTTTCGTGGAACAAGTGCTAAAGTTCATCCTTATCAGCTTTATTCAGAAGTTAAGGACGGAGAGGACGCTTAATGTAGGTCGTGTTTTTTAGCCTTGTTTGTACAAGGGTGGAGTGGGTTTGATAATTTCCTGGAAAATGTAATATACCAGTATTAATTATAGTAGAAAGATTTTTTTTATTTTATCAAGTAAACTTTTTTCAGAACATGTAACTTATATTCATACTATATCAATTATTTATTTTATTTTTTATATCAGTTGAAAGGTTAAGTATTGTTAAATCATTTTGGTTAAATATTTACCGGTAGCGAGAAATTTTTTATAATAATGAACTAACATCTGAAGATCGTGTGTTTGAGTCCTACCCGAGAACAACTTGTGATTTTTTTCGCAATTGTTTTCACACATACTGAGCATTCAGTATATTTCCATGTCAGGTAGGGCAAAATTACACTTACGAATGAACTAATAGTTTTTAGAACAAGTAATCGTAATATCAAGATATAAAATTAAATGTCATTGCAACTCGTTAGACCTTTGCACTTTAGTTGGAAGAGTTTATGTGAATTTATTATCAAAAGGTTCCCGAAATCAGAGCAAAGCGTCGGTAACCGGCGATACACGGATACATCGAAGCTCGGGAACTATGATCATAAGAAAGAAGGAGAAAGACCATCAACGTTTTTCAGATTCGATCACCACAACCTTGCCCCCGAGAAAGTTCTCCACATTAAAATTTAAGTTTGGTAAACATCTGACGGTTGGACCAACACAGACTACTGGTACAACCTGCAAACGGTCCAAGTCAGCAGAGCATTTACCAGGTTTGTTTCATCTGTTAAAAATAATGCTGTTAGTATTCAACTACAAAAATATAAAGTTGTAGCTATATACAATTTTTTGACATAAAGTTATATATTTATATGTAATGATTGATGATTTCTTACATTATATTTTAATTAAGTTATGAATAAACTGGCCAACTTTTTCTTTTCTGAATTTTATAAGAGAATTAACTGTGACAACCTTCATAATTCTTGTCGCCTCTAGCAACGCTGACAAACTTCTTTGATTACAGTATGCTTTATTTGGAGAAAATCCACTAAAGGACTTGTATGTATTCAATGTAAATTCTTGTATTTAAAATTATCAATAAAGCTTGCAGTTCAAATGATTTTTTAAAATGATATAATAATAATATTATAATATATTAACATTTATGATAAAAAATGATATAATAAAAAATGATATAATAATAAAATGATATAATAAAATATGATATAATAATATTATAATATATTAACATTTATGATACTGTTAGAATAATAACAAACATAAAATGTTGATAATTTATGAAAAAGTAAGTAAATTGAATTGTCTAATACAAAAGAAAGATGCGTATTATACAAGCAATTATGACATCACAACTTAACATAGATAAAACATTGTATAGAATATTATATTTGCAATTCATTTTTTCATAATTCTTAATCTAATTATAATTTATTGTTTATTTTTGCATGAAAGTTAATAGCATGATCTTAATTTCATTTGATTCCATTCGGGCAGTGCCAGACATTATTAAGCCAATTAGGCCACTAGCCCATAGAGTAACATTATACTGAAGGGAGATTTTTTCTTCATCTAGAGGTAACATAGAGAAACTTAGAAAAATTAATTTGTAAATTATCATATTTAAACCAAATTAAAAAATTATGTTTGGCTTAACACAGTAGTGAGATGGCAGTAATGACTCTCTTTCTGATTTTTTATAAGCAGGACAAATTAAACAGAAATGATATACATTTTCTACTTCGTTAAGCAAACAAATTATATTATAATTATTACAATTTTAACAGTTGTTATAAACAGATGCAGATTTTATAACTGACTTGAAGTTACGTTAAATTTTTGAGTAAAAGTTTAGTGATTTAAAAGTGGTTCATAATAGATTAGGTATCTCTATGATGTCACTTATTAAGTTTTTGGTGAAGACAAGATGATTAAAATCTACATTTGTTGATAAGAAAGCCAATTTTGCCATTTGAAAAAAGAGCAGGAGAGAAAATGTATTGGGTTTTATTTGTGATGCAGACCTTTGTAAAAGCGAGATGATTTTAACATCTACGTTACTTTTTGAAATGTTTGATGAAAAAGGCTAGAGCGCTAGTTTCTCAATAGCTTCTATTTTTAGCTTGTGATAAACGGGTACATGAAGTAAAAGATTATAAGGAAAATAAGAGAGAATTTTGATTTCTTGCGGCAGATTAGGTTCCTTGTGATGTAGCACTTCTAAGTCCTTGGAGAAGACAAATGATTAAGAACATTGACAGGTGGTGTGATTTTAAGGAAACGAATGACCACAGCTTTTAATGAAAATAGTGACTTTCAAGATGTTGGTTTTGGCAGTTACAGCATTTGCAAGATCTTTATCATCATACTTGATTAATTCTCCTTTGATACAAACTACATTTTAAAATAGATTTGACAATGTTATCATCATTATCATCGTCATCACTGGCATCATCATGTCATCATATATCATCATCCTCATCCATTATTACCAATAGTATCATCATCATCTTCTTTCATCATCATCACCATCTCTTATTATCATCATCATGATCTACTATTACTACCATTATTGTCATTATACTGCTACCATTCTTATCATCCTCATTATCATTTTCCCTTCTGTGGCTGTCATCATTGTCAGAAACTGTAAACATGTTTTAGGTATGATCTTAAGGCTTTAAATATCAATGTATATTTGTAGTAGTTTTAATTATGTATGTAGTGGATACATTTTATGAAAGTTTTCTGAATTTAACACCAAAAAAAATTCAGTACTGTTTGCACAAGTTATAATAATAATTTGTATATTATTATTTGTATTTGCTAATTGATACCACGAAAAGCCCTTGCTTAAATTCTCCTTTATTCATAATTTTGATTTTGTCGATTACAAAACATTTGCATTTAATTGTACTTTAGAGTTGCCTACTTTTTATTGTTTAATTATTATTCTCTAAACGTTTGCATTTTCATATAAAAATTCTTTGTGATAGCCTAAGGTAGGTGCCCCTGGATTGCAAGTGAAACTATTTTGAATTTTACTTTCACACTTTGACTCATTTGTTAGTATCTAGGGTTCAGAAAGATGTGCAAATCTGAAGATAAGAAATTATCTAGACATTTAATTAATCATAGGGCTATAAGGTGTTTAGATTAGTGTGTAAACGAGTTAAGAAATCAGTCTATTGAATTAAATTCATGTGTGGTGTTTGACCCGGCCTCGTCCTAATCTTGACACAACGCGACGATTACCAGTTTACCTTGCAGCATATCTGATTAATTATTAACGTTAGGTTGCTTGTTTCTAGCGGATTAAGATCAATCATTTATGGTGTCAGTGCCTCACTGAGTCAAACGTCTTGATAGAGGCTTGCCGTGTGCTTGATAGCATGAGGTATCATACCTGCACATCTTGCGTTATCTTGTGCCAAATGTACTCGTGCCGTTACGACCACACCATATGATTGATATAGGGCAAATTGTAAGTACAGATCACACAAAGTTGTATTCTGTTTCTTAGAGGTTGAAGTCTCGCGGGTTCTCTCGAGGGAAATCCTCGCTAATAGGGTAACACTCCCTCGGGATTACGTTGGTAACATTCACTTTAAGATAAAGGTCAGATTTCTATTGGTTGGTGGGTAGTCAGGTCTAGAACTCAGTTAAAGCAACATTCTTGGCAAAATTCTGGAATATTTAACAGCTATTTTATGGAGAATTTGGTGAGTTTATAGTTCATGCCAATGTTGACATAGATATTGTGCATTTTTATCTATGATTAAGATTCCTTCTATTGTGAATGTGTACTGTATCACTTAGATTGTTTGTGAATTTTTTTTCTTTTTTTTTTTGTATACAAAATCTCTTTTTAGAATGTTTGCAAACCAGGAAACTTGGAACAAGAAAAAATTTACTTTCTTGTTCCCACCAGATTACTTTTTGCTGAAGCCTTGGTTTTTTTTTTCATATACAAATTTTTTTTTTTCAGCATTATTTTCAGTAGCATGGTCTATTAATAATAGTGGTAACTGTTATATTCTTCTACTTATGGCCTGTGTAGATCAGTTCAGTTCCTATTTACTGTATATCAATGTATTCACCAATCAAACATAGAAGTTTATGTTAAAAATTTAGATTCTAATTTCTTCATATTTTTTGTATATTCCAGAATTTAATGTTGTTTTTCTAAATAATCCTAGGGAATTTGCAAGTAAAATCTTAATGATTTAGAATATTTATTAGTTTTTAATAAAATATAGACCTACCTAGATATTTTTAAAAACACACCTAGAGGTGTAATAATATAGTGGAAATGTTTGATGCATTGAGTGAAGACAAATTTTAATGCTTACATGAAAGATTGTGCCATCTACAGTACTGTATATTTAGTCTATAACATAAAAAGATCCAACTTCCAATTACTTTCAAAACTAGATGAAACAGTTTCAACAACTGCTACTATATGAATTTAACTCATCTGTATGGAAAGTAAATGCATATTTTATTAATAAACACTTTAAAATCTTTTTTTGTCTTGAACACAAATTTTTTCTTTGTTACTGTTCAGACATGGTATCTCAGTTCACACGCGTTTTGCATTTAATTAATCCATGCTTAACAAACTAATGCATGATTATCACACACTGGGCACACGTAAGACTTTTGAGATTTTGACATGTAAGGTTCTATGTTACGTGCATTATTTATCTTGACATAATCATAAACACACACGATGCACGTTTGAACTTCCTGCTCAAGATCTACGTAACAATTTTTAGCCGATTGCAAACCACATTCTGTTGATTTTACTGTAATCTTAGAGTTCTTCCAGAAGTCGAATAGCTTAACGAGAGATATCATGACTATCGATAATCGTGTCCATCAACGTAGCTCTCGTAGACGAAACTTGTCAGGTCCAGGTTATCTTGAGTTATTAAACGTATCCACCATGGCTAACGATACAGAGAGTACACTACACGATCCAATGGAACAAGAAAAAGCTACTGTGGATTTGATAGCTCTTTCACAAGAAGTAACCAATTGGACCGAGAAAAACCTCAACGAAAACTCAGATAAGCTCCAAAGTAAGACATAACAACCCTCATTGAATGCACTAAATGAAAGTTTACTTAACTTTTTCAAGATAAGGGTAAAATCAGATTGAAAATTAATGTATTTAAGCTAGAAGTATTTTTAGAACTGATGGTTTAGATAGCGAGGATGGATTGGAAATGCTTACATAAAATATTCCTGTTTGTCTTGGCTTCCTTCTTCATTTGTCATAATCCACATTAAACCTTATCTTCATAACGGTTCTCTTGATATGAATACTCTTGTGCTTTCTTAAATCCTGTCAGCATTTAATATAATACCACCTATTTTGAACCTACTTATTACGTGACTTTTGCAATTTTGCTACTTAATTAAGTTACTTTGTGTGTGACCTAGAACGGGTTATAATGTGATATGTAGTAATATCATTTCTAAACATATAGGTATGTTATTTTCACTTTGCATGCCCATTTAGTATTATGGAATATTTGTATCAGTTATACTTTGGATGTTGTATCTGTTTTGGTGTTATGAACAATTTTTCTCTATGTTTTTTGAAACATTCTTGCATATTCTATCATTCATGAAGGAATAGACCTTGAGATAAATCTACCATCACCAACTTCGCCTACATCACCTAAACCGACGAGATCAAACTCTAATCCAAAATCACCTACGACAACAAAGGAACCTGATTCATCCCCACTAAAGGGTCGAAAAGAAGAATTCCGTTGGTTTTCTAAGAAGAGATTGGCAAGAGTTGGTAATATTCTAGACTCAGCACAGTTCAGTCTACCACAATGGTTTCCTTCATCTCCTAAGAGCAAGTTGCCGCCAAAAAGTCCATTTTCAAATAGAGGTAGGAAAGTGGCATGCACACTTTCTTGGAATGTGTAACTTTCTTCGCATGATGTTGCAAGAGTAAACACTATTTTGTTGGTGAAAAGTACAATTTAAACTCATCTTGTAAAGTCTGTGATGTTATCTTTTCATACTTTTGTGATTTTTTAATAGTGGTAATTAAAGAAAACCAATAGTTAAAAGTTACTTCCATTGGTGTTTATTCCATATCATTTAAGTTATAACGCATGATTAGTTTAATCTGTGTATTATTTTGTGTAGAACTATTAAATTGCATCGTAGTAGTTTATGTTGATGTATCACTTGCTGTTAATTATTTTCCACTACCAGTGTTTGCTTGGAATTATCTTCAAAGTCCAACTCAAGAAGAAATTAAGAACTTTCGTAATGAAAATGATTCAAATCAGGACCATATATCAGACAGGAAAGTAGAGGAAACGAATGACCGCAAGAAAGCGCCACCTCATTGTGAAGAGGCCTTGTATGAAGCAATAAGTCCCACAGTGTCGCCAAGTCAAATTGTTGATGAGATTTTTATCCAACCACCATACATACCTACAATAAAGGTTATTCCTGTTAAGTCGAATCCCAGTTCAGACTCACAAATGCAGCCTAACATGAAACTGTTCCGGCGTGATCGGGTCATTGCTAGGCCCAAGAAACATCCTCCTCCGTCACCCCTCAAGTTAAAGCCTGCAGGTGTGAATTGCATGAAGCATGCTCTCATTTTGTTCTCTTTGTCACGTTTATTTTTTTTTTTTATCTTGTCTGTTTGTTGAGTAAACATGAAACTGTTTTTTGACTAAAATATAAACCTATTTCAAGGTACCATGAGAAAAAATAAAACTACTCATGTATTTGTGTATCAAATTGATTCACATAAGGTCAACCCTACCCATTTCCATCATCCCATCTATCTTCTTTTCCAATAGTCTCAATATTTGTGATACCTCTGTTCATAATTTTCATTTTGGTGCTGCTTGGTAAAATGTTACTGTACTATCTTTTAAAAAATGTCAAAATAGTTTAGGTGTAATTTAATTCTTTTATCTTCTCCAATAAACTAAAGAGATAAATAATTAGATAAAGAAAATACCCAGTTACAAAAAAGATGAATATTATAATAATTCCTATTCTAGCTCATTTTCTGTACAAGTAATATAAACAAGGAAATCAGCATACATATATTTTTCTATTGCAACTTCAACCTGTTCCTGTTAATTTATGTGCTTTTAACAAACCACATTCACTTACATTATCCTCTGAATGAGGATATACTTCAGACAATTTTTACACTCAACATTAATGTTGTAATTAAAGTTGGTTTGTAATATGTATCATAGTGTCCTGAAGAATATCATGTTGTTATACATTAATAAGTATGTCTATACTGCTGCCAAAATCAATTTAAAAATACTATTGGATTGTTGTTGAAGTACTTAAGAGACTCTTGTGGGACATTTTCCATTGAAGCAAGATGCAATGAAAAGTTGTACCAAACTGTACCATTCTAAGTCTGTTACAAAAAATGCAGTTACATGCAAACATGCTTATGTTGTTAAGGGTTCACAAAAATTATATATATATATTTCTCATTTAATTCATACTAGAGTTTTTTTGTCCACTTTTTTTTACATTAAAAGCCATAACATCCTGCAAAATAATATCTGGGCAGCCTTGTCAGCAGTCAGTATCCGAGTCTGCCTGTATACAGTATGATTGTGTGTGTGTAAAGTGGCCATTTTTAGTGTGAAATAGAGTAAAAATCAAGGGACTTCTTTTTTTTAAACACTTTGGACAAGAAACTATTTGTAAACAGTACCAAATTACTAAAACTACATGCAATTCTAAATTAATGTTCTATTCCCATACCATCAAGTATAAGGCAGCTGCATTCTACATTAAGATATATAATAACATGAGAAATAGATTATAAATAAATAAAAGACAGATGTTAATCTATAAATCTATATTAATGAAATAAAAATTAATACCGTTAATTATAAAATAAAAATGTCCTGTCATTGAATTTATTGGGTTTTAATATCTAATCTAATCCTAAGGCTTTGCTGTCATGGTGTTCATAGCTATATTTAGAATTTTGCTTATTTGTTATAAGGCAGAATGTACCAAACAAATTTAATCATGCAGTGATGTGCCTTTAAATTAATTGTGAAGTCTTATGTGGTGGTGTGATGTTGGTAGGAAGATGTGGGCATGTAGATCAATCAGTGCTCAAGTTAATTTGTCACACTCGGGAAGTTACGTTAATAAGAGTAATTAACTAATAACTTCTGAATCTTCTATGACTCAGAAGTAGGTATGACTTGCTTTATTATTGCATCTTTTAATGGAGAAAAAAGTGGTATGAGCACAACAAAATAACGGCAACAAATATGACATCAGCTAGATTCGAACCAATACCACAATGAATGCAGGTTGTGTACCACAACCACAAATTCACTTCCGATATATTTGTTTATGCATTATCAATATTTTTCTTATCTATTATATATGATATTTACTGGCATTTTCTACTGTATGGGATGAAATATTATATGTACTTTATAGTGCCTTTTTTCTATTAATCATTTTTTAATATTCTTTCTTTTTTAATGCATGTAAATTTTATTGTGGGTGTTTAATATATTTGATATGATGATTATTATTGTTGTAAAATAATGGGAATCAACTGATCCAGAATGTGATAGCTGGTAGGGATAACACTTGAAAGATGGAAAAAGAAGTGCATGAAAATATTGAAATTCAGGAGAATTATTATAAATGTGATTGAGAACTGTGGAAATGATTCTGAACTTTATTCATATTATATTTGTATGCTTTATTTTTTAGTACCAAAGAAGCCATCGTTTTTAAAGAATCTATCAAAACATCAAAATGGCAATGCTTCCCCATCAGAATCTGGACAAAACGTCAAAATGTTGACTCAGAATTACGTAGGTAGACATGCATCTGTACCAGTTAACCCAAAGAAAATGTCACCACCAAATGTAAAAAACCTGCGGAGCAGGTTTGAAACTGGAAATTTCAGTACAAATGAAACTAAAGGGACCAGTCCAAAGACTTCTCCAGTTCCACACACAAAACCAACTTCATTTCAAAAAGATACCAGATCTTCTGGAAAGGACACTCATTTACCAGATGTCAAACCAAAGCCGAAAATTCAGGTGGAGCCATATTATGATGACCCAACAAATGTTCAAAAGAGTGGTGATATTAGTGCCACTGATAATTCTTATTGTGTTCCATCACATTCAACTGCACCATATGATTCTGTTCCGTTGTCAGAGACGAAAACAGAAAATACTCTCGGCCCATATGCTGTTGTGAACCTTGACCCTTCCAGTGAAACAGCATCAATTACTGTCAATAAACGTCCAAGAAAACTGTCTCAAAGTCGTAGGAAAATCTATGAGAACATTGCTGCAAATAAGAATGCGGGAGAAATGAACGGTTCAAATACCAGTGGAGATTCTGGTTACAGCCCGAGGGATTCAAAGAACTCGGAATCTGCGGATGAATCAAAGTTCTCAGATTCTGATATCGATGACGGTCCAATCGGTTGTGACTCGGATTTTTCTGATGATGTTGACTCTTTGATTGGTGATGACGAAAACACTATACCTACAAATGTAAGTTGTTTTTCATTTTTTTATTGTTTCACAAGATCTTGTTTATAATTCTAAGTAAATAATTTTACCTTCGCTGCAGGGTCCCCGTTGTTGGTGATAAACCACAATTGTCATTGGGGGAGAAAAAAAATGTATGTGTATTTTCAGCATTATTAGTGTAGACCCAAAATTGATTAAATAAGCCTTTGAAACCCCAAATTGTTATATTTTTCGGGGGCTTCGCCCCATAAATTACTTTTGAGAGACACCCGACCACGTCCACTTTTTGCGTCTGGGTAATTGGCCCCTGTCAGGGACCTCTGACCCCCTGTCGGGCAAATCGTGGCACCACCACTACTTTGCTATTTAGATTATCAGCAATGAAAATTGTAATTTGAGCATTTGTATAACATTATATAAATAAATTTTCTGAATTGGTTAAAAATGATGCTGCATTATGAGAGATCATTCCATAATTTGCTAATGATAGTTTGGTTTTGGGTTTTTCTATGATCTTTTTTTCTGAACTTGTTAGCAAATATCAGTGTTTAGGTAAATATGGTTTATAAGTTGCATCATCACCATCATCATCACTAGCTTTATCATCAGATCATTACCAGGATTATTTTCTTTGTCATAATCGTATGCAACATCATTACCAACATGATCATCATCTGCATCACCTAATCATCGACATCACTAGCATTGTCGTCATCATCATTGTCTTCATTATTTTCATCATCCCCAACACCATTGCCATAAAAATACTGCCCTCACCTCTATTGTTATTGCCATCTTAACATTACTGTATGATTGTTCATCAATTATTGTCATCATCATAATCATATTATCATCATCATCATTATTTAGATCCAGATTTCATTTACCGGTATTGTCATATTAAGGGAAGCCACATGAAATACATTTACAAACTTTTAATAAGGAAAAAGTACATTTAAAAAAAACACTAATATAATACTATACAGCAATATTAAAAAACTGATACTGATTTTAAATATTAAATATATATATAGTAATAAAGTTTTAAAAGAAAAAGTATATTGCAGCTACATAGCACCTTAAATTATGAAATAATATAAATAAATAAATTCAGCCAGAGTTGTGAAAAAGGGCTATATACAGTTCTGAAAATAAAAGAAATTCTAAAAATGAAATATAATGCCAAGTATTGCGTCTAAGTTGAGTTGTTACTTGATGTATTCAAGTCCTTAATATAATTTTCTTATTTGCTCATGACTACCGGTATTCATAGTGGTTTGACCCTTTAAAGATCTACTTAAGAAGCTTATTTAATGATCCTTGTAAACAAGGTCTCTTGACATTAGAAGGAAACACAAATCAATTAAAAAGAAATTACACAAAGAAATCCTTTTTAATTTTATAAAAACGTATTCATAATTAAACCAGGGAGTTGTTTTAGTGCTTAAAATATGAGGAAACAAATATGTTACAGGAAACAGCTGATTTTTTTCAAAAGAAAAATAATATAGCTAAGAATTATTATTTGTTTACTTTTTAATTAATTTGTTTATTGGTTTTTATTTATTCATATTATTTCATTTTGGTGTCCCTTATTATCATTAACTAGATTATAGACATAAACAGGTTTAGAAAGGTGTGATAAAATTGGTAATGAATGCAATTGAAAAACATAAATATTAATCATTTATAGGTTATATTATGCTGACACACTATTATTATTAATAAATAATTATAATATTAAACATATGTAAAGAAGTCTTGGTCTCCATGATCCATTTTAGTATACTGTGAATATTAATTACTAGATAGTACAGTATTGTGTTTTATAATTCTCGCCATGAGATCAGTTTGATCTCCTTTTGACCTTCACATGGTGTATAAGGAAATGTATGTAGTGTAATACATACTGATTAGTTCCTGTGATACAGCAGACACACCAAGTACTATTTTGGAGATGAAGCAATATTTCTCATTGTATACAAGATATTTAATGATGGATTGAGGGCTTAGCAATAAGGTATTGTTGTTGCGATATTGTTGGTTGGTGTCTGTGTGATCAAGGAAGAGGTAGTAGGGTAGTAAACCGTGATATGGATTGGATGCGGGATAGTGCCTTTTGGTCTGATAGTGAAGGCAGCCATTTTGAAGTGGATTCTCTGTCAGATTTTGATTTCAAGGTAATTTAAGGACAAGATTGTTTAATTCCTGTTTGATAGCTTGTGTAATATGAAACTTAAACAGATTGCAAACAAATCGAAGTCTAAGTCAGATTTTATCATTGTTCTACCATGGTTCTGCTGTATTGTTTTTCTTGTTTCCAACTTTACATAGGGAGTTGTTTAAATACCAACTTTCAGGTGCTAGTCTCAGGACATACTCTCTGCAAACCTAGGGTTTTCCCCTTGTTTTTTAGTCTTCGTTCTAAGTACCTAATAGAGAATTACTATTATTATTTTCTGTGTAGTTGTACATTTATATGTCTATATACATAAAATTATTGTTCATTATTCTTTATATTTTTATATTTATAAATGCTTGCAGTCACTAGATTTCTGAAAATGAATTCTGCTGTTTTGTTGAGAATGTCTCAATGTTACGATTGAATAATATTATTGTTGCTAAATTACTAATATTTTTTAATATATCTCTGTATCTTTATTCAATTTTCAAAATCAAAATTATACAAGAAAAATCCATAGCAGCCAAAGGCAGAACAATTAAAAATTTACAAAAACATTATTTAAAATTGCAATTCAATTAAACAAAATTACAATTCCATTATACAAAATTACTTAAAGCTAGAAAATCATCGAACATCACACAAGACAATTCAAAAAAAAAAAAAAAAAACCATGAAAAAAAGAAGGGACAAGAAACATTAAAAAAAACAAGCACAAATGTTTGATGTTTGACAAGACAAACATCAAACAGACATAAAAGAAAAAAACAAACCATGCAGCATTATAATAATTCAAAAGAAGGAGAGAACACATCAAGAAATTGAAAGGATAAAATTAATTAAAGTCATTTAAGTGCAAATTGTTGGAATGGGAGGATATCGGAGGGTGAAAGGTGGTCCGCCTTGAAGGACCCTACAATTAATTAATGGAGCATACCCAGCAACCTCAGGTCAACAAAAGGAAGGAAAAAAAGTGGGATAAGATGAGGGGAAAAAAAACACCATTATAAAGAATTTAATTTGAAAAGATCAATATTTCTATCTACCCTGGTTGGACATTTGGCTAACATGTCATGCACTTCATAAATCTGTCATTCAATGCTTCCTCATATCCTGTGTAATTCCTTCTGAAGCTATGGTGGGTCTTATGGAAAAGTTATGCAATATAATTTTTACCTACTCGCATGAATAATAACTGAATGACAATTCATTTCAGAACTTTATGTCAATTCTTATCTGTAATTAGGTAATTAAATTAAAATAATTTTATTAATTAAAATGTAATAATGTTGATGTATCCATTAAGCAAGACTATTTTTAATGCACTATTTAGTGAACCCGCACCCCGCCAATAATGATAATTTGCGAATAAAAATAAAATTTTATTTTTGGCCAATTAGCCCACCCGCCACCACGAAAAATGTAAATTTCAGCTTTCCTTTTTTGTTTTTGTTTGCTTTGAAATCTCAAAAAAATAAGATATGTATATTTCTTCCTAATTATAAAAATTTAAAGCATTTTACCATCTCATTTAACTAAACTGCTTACATTCAACATTAACATTTTATTTTCTTCTGGATGTTTTTGGCAAAACCATTTTGCTAAATATAAAAACAATTTTTTTTCCTGCCCTCTGACAATGAAAAAAAATATAAGTTCACGAAACAAGGTATAAAATATGTCTAACATTATGTGGTGATGTTATCTATTTAACTACAGTACTGGTATTAGAAATTATTCAAACTCTGATATAAATGTGAGCTGTCGTGATCAAAATGAGTCTTGTAATACGAAAAATGAAAAATGAGTTTAGTGATATATTTAGATAGATGAATATATAAGCTGTATTTTGCTCTTTGAATCATGTTCCTAGGTTGAGTAAAACCGGAGTAATATTTTAAGTTCAGGTGTTTAAAAACATACTTGTGAGAAAATCGCCTCTAAAGATAAACAGCTGATAAATTTTGTGTTGGTTTTCCTATCAATTCTAAAAAAATAGCTTTACAAAATGTGCCTCAAAAATATGATTACCTTTTGTAACTCAATTCAGAACTTCTGCTAATATAAAATATACATATTAAACTTATCAGAAAAATGGAAACCCAATTTTTGTCAAAATATCACTTCAGATACATTTTCTTGAATATATCAAATTGACTTGGCATATCACAAGGCTCATTTTATCATGACAGCTCACAAATATTGGCTGATGCTAAGTCAACGATGCTCTTATCATTACTTCCAAATTACATAAATTATGTGCGTTGCTGCATATATGATCCTCAAGATAGAGGTTTTCCACTGGCAAAACAATTTATTAGGAATATTATTAAGCTGCGGAATTAATTTAACCCAAAGCTGAGTAAATGCTAGCTGAGGTGGAATACTGGTCAATAGTTATATGGTTATCGGTGAGTCAGATAGCAAGGTTTCTAACAACGATTATGAATTCAACGAGGATCTAACTCATTGATTGTCTATGCTTCATCAAGTTTTGTAGGCATAGGCACATTACTGTACCTACATTTGCAGGAAGAACAAGAGGGATTTACTGAAGGAAACTGTAAATACATCAGGCTAGGCCATCAATTACCATGGGCCTACAAAACTCCAGGCATACCATGTTTTTATTCTAGCTATAATCAGGAGATATAGAAGGTTATGAAAGATAGTCTTGAATGGTAACTTGCATTATAGTAAAGGTTATTTCACTCATTTGACCTTACCCACCGATTAGTTTGAAGGGTTACTTCAATTTTTTTTTTTTTTTCGTGACGCTATCTTAGACCACCTTCATAAATAATCACTTTATTACCAACTTAATCATTATACCTCTTTGTTATTATTCAATCACATATCCTATTCAGATATGTGATTCCATCAATCAAATAGGCTACTATTTATTTAAGATAAATACATTAATTCTATCCATCCATCCATTCATTCAGTCATATTAAATCTAAGAATACAAGTTATTAAATTTGTAACTGATGATAATACTGTTTAATGATAAAGGTATAAAAAAATCCATAAACATTTATATAGGTAATTAAAAAATTCATAAACGTTTATTTACCAATAAACATAAATTGTACTCAACTGTATATGAAGGTATAAACTTCCAGGAAATAACGATCAGATTATTCTAAAAAAATGAATAATAAACTTTCATTGGGTATAGGTTTAAATTCTTGTGGTTATTGGGAAAAATAATTGACTTAAATATTGTAATTTGTTGTATTTTTTTTTTTCAGGCAAATGAAGAAAATTTTGATATTACAACCTTTACGAGTGACTACCAGAAAGTAGCGTATGAAGTGCTGACCACTGAAAGGAAATATATTGATAAACTATACCTGCTGGATCAGGTAAGCCAGCTGTTATTTGTAATAATTTAGCAACTCATATTTTCATTCATAAATTACTTAGTTTTTTCTTAAGTAAATGTCTTCAAATGTCTTAATACAGGTCTCCCTCTAATGAAAGACCACCTCCAATTAAAGACCACTTTTCTATGGTCCTTAATTAACAAATGTCTTTTATTATTATTATTATTCTAATTAGGGACCAAAGCTGCTAAAGACTTTGAAAACCCCGGTTCCAAAAGTGCTCTTTAATTGGAGGGACTCCTGTATTATAATTTTAAACAATATATAAAGAGGGTAATAATAATAACAGTAATAATGATTTTGTTGATAAAAACAACAAAAACGGTGATGACACAACGTCGATGACGACATTAACAATACAGCATCTATCTAGAAACTTATAGACACACAGTGATTCAGGAAAAGAAGGACATAATCAAGCTAGTACCAGACCCCCAGTAGGGTTTAACCAACTCTAAATTCGGACAATCACTGCATTGTACGACGAATTCAACTTCGTGGGTTGTGAGCGCCAGATGACACGACGCCGTCTGTTGATTGTCGGGGGCATTCTGAAAGGTCCGTCGTTAAAAACAATCCATTTTGCACACGTCGTTTCGTTGCATACTTAATAGAATCCCATCGGCCCATTAACCGTCGGGAAGGGTGACTATCCGGCTTTACAGTTTGAGACATTTGCAATTTTGAAGTCTCAATCCCTTGTGGATATTGTTCTTCTAAAGGGGAAATACTAGTTTTAAAAAATAACTACAGAAACAAAGAAAGTAAGACTATAAGAAGAGAAGTTTACATCACCTCTCCAAGACTTTCAGACCCCCAGAATATTGATGAGTTTATTCATTAACATACAACCTAAATATTTTCCATTCCCTTGGGAATAACTGAGTAAATATAGAATATCCTGCTAATTTCAGCCACTCCTATTTCCATCACAAAGTTGTGTGTGAATAAATCAAAGCACTATTTATGAATAAAAGGATGTGTAGGGAATGACTCATAGGATGGAATTAGTTATGTGCAATTCGTGAATATGTCCCTAGAAATTTACTAAACATATCGCTCCGTGCACACACACACGCCATACCGTACAATCCATTAATGTTTGTAATTTATATCAATGTGAACAAATTTTTAATAATCTGTGATGTTGGGGTATACGCAAGAGAGATATACAGAGTTGTTGTTTTATTCCAGCTGTCATTAACTGCCATGGACACATACATACTTACATGTGCAAACATACATACATACATACATATGCATACACATACATTACACAGCACATAGCAAATAGCAGCAGTGATCAAGAGTGTTGGTATAGTATGGTGGTTATGGTGCCTTCCTTCTAACTGCAGAGTTCTGGTTAAAATCCTGTGTATCTTGATGTTATTTCACACACATCTAAAAACATCCTTCATTTCTTAAGTTTAAAGATTATTACATAGCACCATCTATAACTAGAAAGTGAACTTTACTGAATATAATTTATATTTAAAAAAATCAGTAGCTAGGTTCACATTCAGAATTTAACGTGATCTAGTGGATCATGATCAAGCCAGTCACTTTATGTGAACCAACCAGAATCAAATAACGTGCTCAGCTTAATCACCTTATTGTGATCTAGTGGAGCATGTTGATTCATCATGATTAACCTTGGTTAACGTGATAAATTAATTCATGGGATTGAATTCAACCAATCAGCCTTCAGTTTATTAAACAGGTCCCAACCTCATTGGTTGTGCTTCTGGTAGTTTTCACTCAACACTGCACGCATTAGCATAAATAGATCATGATGATGGTTTCTATATGAACGGTTTTCTCTAACATGCTAAAGTTATCATGATGAATAGATCATGATAAGTTTATCACGATAGCTTATGTGAACGTACCTAATACCAATGATTAAAAGTGTTATGCTTAAGTTTGATTCAATACAGCTGTGTTTATTGTTTAACCCTAAGACATTGAAAGTTTGTTACTGAGATGTGGTTTTCCTTGTCCTTCACTCCTTCCTGTACTTCGCTTTCATTCCTTTTATTTAGCATTCTAATGTGCTTTGAATTTCTTGATCTATTGAAAATTTGCATGTTTCCTTGTCTCCCAAGGATGAACTTATGAACTTTAAGGAAGGACAGTGGAATTATAATTAGGATAATCATACAAGGTTCAATAAAATAGGGATAAATGTTAGAAGACTTGACTGCCAGTAGCCCAGTCGATTGCTATAGAGATTTCTGTCTGAAGGCATTCTACTACAAGTTGTTACATATCATATGAGACATTGATACAAAGATACTTACAGTAATGTAGTACAATTATGTCTGCAATACATTATATTTGTCTGTTTTATATTTGTATGTCTGTTTGTTTATTAAAAATTTCTAAGATAAAAGTAGTAATAAATTTATTCTATTATCCAATAATTTGCATATAATAATTCTTTCTTTTATAAAATTATTATCCACATCATTGTTATCATCATCATCATAATTATTATTTATTATTATTATTTTATTTATTATTATCATCGTCATTAGTATTGTTTATTTGTTTTTATAAGTGACAGCAATCTTCACTCATTTTTCTGTTATGTTTATTCCTCCATAGGTGTTTCGTCTCAGGATTGGCCAGTCCTTTCCAACAGAAGTTGTTCACCAAGTCTTCTCAAACATCTCAAGTATCTACAACTTCCACAAAGATTTTCTGCTTCCGCAATTAGAAGAACGAATGCAACAATGGTATTTATAACATTCATATTCAAATTCCCGATAACAACATCAAAATGGCTTCCTCTTTATCTGTAAACTCTGAGAAGGAAATAAACATTAATAAGTAAATTTATCGCAAGAGGTCTTTGAAAATTTTAAAGAGAGAGCCTTATTTTAAAATATTTGTTTGAAGGTTTTTCAGTAACTTTGTCCACAAACAGTGAATGACATAAATTACTTCCTCGTTGCTAGATTTAGACTTTCTTCCTGGTAGAAATTTACATACAATTACAAAAAAATGACCTAAAAATTATTATGTATTAGTTAATTAAGTGTATGTTATTATTTTAAAAACCTTCATTTGACATTTGATATTTTTAGGGATAGTAAACCAAGGATAGGAGATATTATGAAGTTGCTGGCGCCCTTTTTACGGATGTATTCCGATTACGTTGGGAATTTTGACAATGCCATGAAACAATTACAAATCTGGACATCAAAGTCAACTAAATTTGCAGCTATGATTCAACAAATACAGGTAATTATGATGTAGACCATCTTTCTTGCAGCATCAGTTAGAAATGAAGAGTTTTTAAAAGAAACTTAACTACTAATAGTTTGAAGGTATATAATTACAAGCATTTTTATATTGTTGTTAAGATTATCACATAGGCAAGATTATATTGGTAGATTTCCTTGTTTCACTGGTTTATCTAGACAGAAACGAAACCAACATGATCAACAGTGCAGTTATTTAATATTGAATACTGGATGATTTGTTATTTATTTATTTATTCATTTATTCATTTATTCATTTATTCATTTATTTATTTATTTGTTTATTTATTTATTTATTTAATCTTTCCTTATACTGTAGGCACTTTCAATACTATGTAGTACTGATTTTAAAAGTGGTACTACCAAAGAGTATAAATAGAACAAGAGAGCCAACAACGCTCATTGGGAGCGTAAAAAAACGATACGCTCTACGCAGATAGTGTAGGACGCCAACTAACGCTTGTATATGTTTTATTACCCAGTACTGCACCGCGCACTGTAGGTTTGTCTGTTTATCTGTTCTCCACGAGATACTGTGCTTTTGTTTTCTGCTTACTGAGTTTATAGCGGGCGTACTTCTACCGCGCTGCGCAGCGCTGCACTGGGTAATAAAAAGAATATACAACCGTTAGTTGGCGTCCTACACAGGCATGACGTTTTTACGAACGGCACTTTGCTCTCTTGTTCTATTTATACTCTTTGGTACTACATACTCCAAGTATCGAAATGCACGCCATCGTGTCGGGATTCAATATTTTGACATTAATTATGTCATTACTGATGATGACATAATTAATGTCGAAATATTGAATCCTGACACAATGGCGTGCATTTTGATACTCGGAGTATGTATTATACAATCTTATACGAGATTAATCAGTGGACCTTTCGGTTTAAAGTGGTACAGTGACAAGAAACATACATAGGCCTACAGTGTAATAAACATTGGTAAATGATGCTTAATAAATACATGATGCTTACTTTTTACAAAGATGCATATTTTATCAATTTGATAGACAAGTTTCTGTGGTCTGTTCTTAAGTGGAATCATACTTTAGTATTTACTGCTAATGTAATTTAAAATCCTACATGAAGGGGTAAATCTACGAAGTGTGCGTAACAAGGAGGGAGAGGAAATTTGCTATTTCCTAACTCAAGCTGTCTGCTACGAAAGACATTTGTAAGACACTTGCTGCATTTCAAAGATTACTCACGACATGTCGAATAAGACTATTACAGAGTATAGAGCGTAACCCATGCAAACCGCTGAATATGTCACTTCTAATTAGCTTCATGCCTATTGTCCAAGTTTTACTTAGAAACTACCATAATTTTACTAGCGTCTAAATGGCGTTTCTTCGCAATTATTTTAAGTACTGTCATAGAAATATGATGTGTTGATTGACAGTTATTCATGCGGTATTCATTAGAGCCTTGAAGTACTTATGGGTTCATTGCAGGCCACAGTAATAACAGCTGATAAATTGCCAACTACCCCACAGTAAAGTTTTTCCAGTCAGTCATGTTATGTAGAACAATATAGAAAATGTTTGGCAATGATATCTATTTATCTCTAATTAATTTTGAATCATTGAATTCTGCCAAGGTACTTGGCATTAAAAAAGGCTGGCCCTGTTATTATGGTCTTATCATTTTAAATGGCAAGTATAAAACCTACTGTACATGAGGTTATAATGCATGGAGACATTTGCCTACCATGTGCTTTTATTTTTTTTAAATTTGCATTGAATAGTGATTGGTCACTAATTACAGGAAGGAGATAAATGTTGGTGATTTATTAACTAATTAATCAATCAATAGGTTATGTACATTTTTTGTCTATTCTTCATTATCTTTCTTATGAGGCCTATAAATAGGAGTTTTTAACAACTGGATATTTGAATGAATGTTATGCCCTACTTGAATACCACGAGACTTGAGTATATCCTCGCTTCATCTTAACACCTTCTTGTTCCCATCAACGGTATTTTCACTGCCACCTGACTTGAGCATCTCCTCTCTTCACCTAACACCTCTTTTTCTCACCAACAGCATTTTCACAGCCGCCTGACTTTAAAATTTTCTCCTCTCTTCATCTTAACATCATCTCCTTGAATTCCCACCAACAGCATTTTCACTCTTTGTTTTCTTTTATTCTACAGGCCGATCCAATGTGCCATCAGCTGTCATTACAGCATCATATGTTAGAACCAGTTCAGAGGGTGCCAAGGTACCAATTATTACTCAAAGGTTAGTAAACTCATAATACTGTATTTGTTGTTCCTTTATGTTCACTTGATAAGTAAACATCGTGGAATACAACATTAATTGGCTAGAGATCACACAAGTGGAACATGGTTCATAATATTTAACTTGCATTTAATTTTCTTAATTACAGATTATCTTAAGAAACTTCCAGAGGATTCAGAAGATAAAACTGATGCTGAAAGTAAGTATTTTGGACAATTTATCTCATAAATTGAATGAATAACTTGTCATTATTATTGTCATTGTTGTAATCATCATCATCACTTTTATCATTGTCATCATCGTTATAGTCATTGTTGTCATAGTCACCATCTTTGCATTGTTGTCATCACTATCATCATTAATATCATGAACATCATTATCATCATCAATGTCATCATGTATATCATCATCTTTTTGATCATCATCATTAACATCATAATCATCATTGTCATCACTAATATGGGTTTTAATTATATTATGATATCGATTTATGTAAATAAATTGTCATCATTATCATAAATGTTATCATTATCATCATCATAGTCATTGTTTTCATCATTGATATCATAAGCATCATTTTCATCATCAATGTCGTCATGTATATCATCATCTTCATCATCATCATAATTGTTATCATTGTCACCATTAACATGTATGTTACTTATTTTATCTCTTTCTTTTCACCTTACAGAAGCGCTTGACTTAATCTCCGCAGCAGCTCAACATTCCAATAATTTCATGAAGAGCATGGTGAGAAAACAAAACATTATTAATGCAACATGTAAACTTATGAATGACAGACAACATAATAATGTCGTAATGCTGTGGCATTGAATTATTAATCTGTTCAAAATGCAGAATGATTAGATACACTCCCCAGAGAGTACACACAGCTGCATGCTATGACAGTTATTGAATACAGCGATAATAATTACATAGCAATGCATTATATGCCTTGGTAAACGGCACAATAAATATTTTTATATCGCTATTATTAAATTATTTTATTGTTGTAAGCTAGCATTTCCAACCCACAAAACAAGAATGATTGAACGTTCACACTAACAACTTTTTTGGATAGATTGTATCATGTAAATCTACATTATTTTAGTAATTTTTATCTTGTCATAGTTGAATGATTCATTTTATTATTGTCATTGCTATTGTCATTTTTTAAAGGATAAATTCCAGAAACTTCTGAAAATCAACCAGATGTTAGATGGTGAAGACATCATCGATCCCACAAGAGAGTTCTTAAAGGAAGGAAAGATCACAAAAATAGCAGCACGAAGTGGAGATCAGCAGGATCGTTATTTATTCCTGGTAAGTTGTGCAGGATTCTTTAGGAATGCTGGTTGGAAGTTCCACTAAATCTCTTCCATAGCAAAATGCAGGTTGCAGGAATCCCTACAGGAACTGGTTAGAGATCCATGGCAGGAACAATCCTCCCTACAGGTACTGGTTAGAGATCCATGGCAGGAACAATCCTTAGTTGTACTGGTTCCACTTACTCACTGGCAACAAACAAAATTAAAGAATTCTGTCTGTAAATGCTGGTAAACCAAACTTTGTAAATCCTGGTACCCGAACCCAGCCTCTGAAATATCAGGAATATGTCCTATGGGTGATACTTTCACCACAGTTATACTGTAGGGCTGTATCTGAGGCAACTAGTGGTCTCTGGTTTTACATAAAGCATCTAGGGAGGTACAGTTTATATATGTTTCTTTTGTTTCTGTTACAGTTTAATGATGTGCTGATCTGTGCGCAGAATCGCAAGTTAATAGGTGGTGCTGCAAGTTACAAGGTGAAGGCACGGTTAGACATCGATGGCATGAAGGTCTGTGTTCTCAATGTGCATTTCAAACTTTTTCCCAATATCAATTTTTTGCGGATTGGGATAAATACTTCCATGTGCAAAGATTCAACTAGATTTCATTTATCAGTGATAAATACAAGAAAAGTGAATGAAACTTCCTCCAACCTACTTGTTCAAAACAGGAAACATTTCATTGTCACAAGGTTATTAAATTGAAAGCTATTTAAGAACTTGAATTAAATATTTATTCCTTGCACATGTTAGAATCTACTTTCATTTTTAAAATTTTGTAAGAATATGTGACTTTTGGGGATGGGAGAATAGTTTTTCACCATAGTGTAAAACACAATGTGAAGTTTTTAGAATGATCTGCAATCCACAATGTCCTATATCAAAATATTGTGTAATGTTAATAATATAAGAAGTTATAACAGCACTTTTAAGACTAACTTGTAAATTTATTCTCTAGCTTTCATCCACACAGAAGACTCAGGAGACTGTACAAGTGGGATAAGAAACACCTCAGTACAGTCTCCTCATGAAGTCTACTGAGTTGGATTGGATTGGATTTATTCAGCGTGAACACCAAAGATAGCTTACAACTTATTTCCAGTGGGGTCCTTCTGGTGGTGATTGGACAGTACACCGGGAGACAATCCCCTACACTTTTCCAAAGAGTGTACTGCGTTCTTTAACATGCACATGGGCCATAAATGCACACAGGACCAACAGCTTAAATGTCTCATTCGAAAGACGGTACGCTATTGTAACTTGTATTTCAGCCCTCCAGCTGAAACACGAGGAGAGGCAGCGATGGGAATTGAACCGGGGACTTAGAGAACTCCACGGTTCAGCGCACACATAGTGGCTACCACCAGATTAGCCGACTGAGCTAAGCTGCTCAGCTTGCTCATTAATAACATTATGATGACACTGTGTGGATGAAAGCTAGAGAATAAATTTTATACAAGTTAGTCTTAAAAATGCTGTTGTGATTTCTTATATTGTTCTATAGCCAACTAACGCTGCTGCACTTATTATTCATCATAATGTTATTTATGAAACTGTGTTTTAATCAGTTTTGTTAAACTTTCATTCATTCATTTTATTTCTATTTTATATATTTTTGTCATTTATAGATATTTGATGGAGAGAACAGCCGGTATGACCATACGTTTCGGCTGGAGAGCAAACAGAAGACTCTAGAGCTACAAGGCTACTCAGATGAAGAAAAGGAAGCATGGATGAGGGTAAGTCAAAATGTATGGACCTTGTAAAAAAAATAGGAATACAAAGATGCACATTATACACACACAATGAAACATACTGTATGTTACATGAAGTAGTACTAGATTCATAAATTTAAAAAATCAAATAATATTGCTGACCGTTCTTAGTTAACATATACAGAAGATGGTATAATAGGTAATATTTTTAATAGGTAGTAAATTTTCAAATTATTTTATTAACGTAGTAATACAAATCGTATATTTATATTTATTGTTGTTATTCATTTATAATATATTTATCCCACTCCCTGCTGTAAAGCGCATAGGTATTTTATATTATGCACTATATAAATTGACAATTATATATTATATTATAATATTTGAAATAAATAATTGATAGTTGATATGATGAAAACTTCCATTCCTTATAAATCATCATTTGTTTTGTTTTACTCTTAACTTTTCATTTAAATGTTGAGCTCATAGAGGCCTTAAAAATGCATTATGTGCTATATAAAAATATATTTACAAGTTACCTTAATTGTATATTGTTTAATGTGGACTGTCTATTTTTTTAGTGTAATTATTGTGCAGGACCATTGTTAAAAACAGGCATTAACATCTGTCTGAAAATATATCCTGGGTAAAGATGTTTTAAATAAATAAATAAATAAATAAATAAATAAAATTATTATTATTTATCATATTATGAAATATATGAATTATCCTGGCAAACAGCTAATAAGTTTTTTTTTGTTTTTTTTTTTTTTATAGTCCAGATATCCTTTAATTGACGATATTTTAAAAATCAGATCATCATATTAATTATTACATTTCAGGCGATAGTTGGTGCAATACAAGAACATTTAAGAAGGAAGGAGACATTTAAGACTTTATCAGTTGATAAAGAGGAAGTAAGTGGAATCCAGTTTGCTGTATCAGAGTTGCATAGTTCACTGAGATCTATAATGTATAACCTTTGAACCTTTGTTGACCTTACCAGTGGTCTTGCACATATGTCGTTCATCAACCAAAGAAAATAATTTTATATCTATTGTAGCTGTTCTTAAACTAACTTTTTTTTTGTCTGTTGGTGTCTCACTATACCTCCTTTTTTTACTACAAATTAATTTTGTTATCCCTTTATACTTTTTAAATGTTTTATCATAATCTTTTATCTAGTCTCGGGATTTACTGTTAAGTATGTTGATTCTGAGTTGTATTTTTTCATGTCATGCATAGTGCCAAAGGAAAATTAATTTCCGCTTTTATAATTGGACAATAAATGTTCTCTTATCTCATCGTATTTTGACCTTGCAGTAATTCTGTAAAATAATATCAATTACTGTATTTCCTTCGGTCATGTTTTTGAGAGCCATCTTTATTTGCCGAATTATCAAAATGAAGGTTCCAGGATTTCTATACAATTTCCTAAATGGAACATGTAATCCTATGTGGATATAGAAACATAAGTGATAACATATTATGTCCTTGTGTTCTGTTTTTCAAAGCCTGAGAGTCCTCTATCTACTGGACCTGTTGATGGGGAAGTTCCACTTGGTTCACGAGCTCCCCGATGGGTACGCGATGATGAAGCAACAATGTGTATGCGATGTGCCTTGGATTTTGGATTAACAAGAAGAAGGCATCATTGC